ATACCCAAAATGTTTACAATGGTAAGATTACAGATAATTATTAGTCTCTTATTATACCCTTCTACTTATTTCTATTTATTTCTGCAATAAAAGTGTAACACTGAAATTCAGAAAAAAATTTTAAAAAGAAAATGTCACATTGGAAAATATAACCTAACTGGTCAGAACTATATGACATAATAATATATAAATCCTAGGTGAGAAACTATAGCCTCTGTGACATGGTATGGTTGCATGTGGCTTTAGCTTTCTTCCCATTTTTTGCTGGATTGCAAGTATGTCAGGTTGCTAGAGAATTGAATTGTGAATGAGTAAAGCATTAAGATATATATGTATTTAAAGGGGGCGAGAGGATACTGAGAGAGAAAGAGAAAGGAGGGAGAAAAGGTCCTGAGCCAATGCTTTTAGACAAGCATCTAGGGATTTTTTTTCATTAACTGCTTTTAGAAGTTTAGAAGCCACAGATGGTGGTAACTGTCATTAAGTCACTCAGGCTGATTTATCAGTGGATGAGCATTAAAGACAAATTAACCTCTCAAGAGACCAGGATATTGTCTAATTAACAATTAACTACTTCCTAAAACTGGGAGAGCTGAATTAAGAATGCAAGGAAGTAAAACTGGGAAAGCATGGAAAGAAGCTAAGCAGTTTAAAGCAAATGAGTGGCTTAGTGTAAGATGTTTGTATCTGAAGGTGTTAGATAGTATTACCAATTTTCTGTCCTGATTCCTTTGTATCATGATGAAATTTTTTTCTGTTAGATAGTAATAACTTTTGATATTTTCTCCTCTTTTTTGGAATAAAATCATTCATATGTTCATATATGGGTAGTGGAGGAGAAGGCAGTGTTTTGATTTCACAACTCACAGTGACATTCATGTGTCACCTCATGCAGGAATGACCAAGGGCAAATGAAGCCTGGAGCGGGTGATTTAAAGGTAGTTGTTGCCTGACTTCTCAGAGCTTCTGAAGATATTTTTAAGAATTTGCCTCTGTCTCCCCAAACACTGCATGTCAAGAAAAAACTCAACTAGCACTTTAAACTGGTCTCAGTGGTAGACAAGATCCAAATCTGTTCTCATTCAGCACTAGTGGCATTTGCAATATGAAGGACTAAGGACTTCCCCAAATATAATATATTTTACTATCATAATAACCCTGTGAGATTTTATTAGCCCAACTTTATACATGAAGAAACAGAGGCTCTAGGCATTAATCATACCAGTATTAAGCTAGAGGAAAGGCTGGGAATTTAGATCCTCTAACTCTCAATCCTGTAGTTATTTCCACTATTTCATGCTGTAGAGTTTATTGATAGATTAATTCCATGCCAAAGTATTGTTCCTAAGGGTCACATACAAATGTATCTCTGCAGATTAGATTAATCATTGCTCAACAACAGTGCAGGTGAGTGGAAAATTATTCCTGAGGAAGGAAAAGTTGAGCGGTGGGAGGTTGCAGCTGATGTTGATTCCCGTCTTGGTGTCCCCTTGGGTCCCTTCATCACATGGACTGCATCTCTCTTCTCACAAACCCATGTTCATTGTTTGTCCCTCAGGGTTTAGGCAAATGCCTCCCCTGAAGAATTCCATTGAAAACTTGAGCCACTTTCATTATTCCTTTACGCCACATCCCCTCAGCTTAACTTAAAATGCTCGTGCATATTACAGAGCATACTTATTTCAAAATCCTCAGGAATTTTTCTTCAGAAGTCATATATCTATGTTTCAGCGCCCAGCTAGACTTTATTAAGGAAGGTCTCTGTTTTCCTTTTCTATACTCATACCCCTTTCTTCCAACTGCCTAGCATATTGCTATGCATTCAACAAATGACTACTGAGTTAATGAGAACCTGCATTAATATGGTGAAAGCCCAGCTTGATTAGCAATGAGGAGGTTGGAGTCCCAGCTCTACAACTAAGTAACTGTGTTACTTCAGGCAAATCTGTGGGTCTCAGTTTTCTCATTATAAAATGGTTATGGGTAATCCTAATATTTATATGGAACCATAAAAGATCCAGAATTGCCAAAGCAATCCTGAGGGAAAGAAAAACAAAGGAGGAGGCATAACCCTCCCAGATTTCAGACAATACTACAAAGCTACAATAATCAAAACACTGTGGTATTGGCACAAAAACAGACATATGGATCAATGGAACAGAATAGAGAGCCCAGAAATAAACCCACACACCTATGGTCAATTAATCTTTGACAAAGGAGGCAAGAATATACAATGGGGAAAAGATGGTCTCTTCAGCAACTGGTATTGGGGAAGTTGGACAGCCACATGTAAATCAATGAAGTTAGAACACTCCCTCACACCCTACACAAAAAAATAAACTCAAAATGGCTTAAAAACTTAAGCATAAGACATGACACCATAAAACCCCTAGGAGAGAGCATAGGCAAAACATTCTCTGACATAAATCATACCAACGTTTCCTTAGGTCAGTCTCCTAAGGCAATAGAAGTAAAAGCAAAAATAAACAAATGGAACCTAATCAAACTTATAAGCTTTTGCACAGTAAAGGAAGCCATAAACAAAATGAAAAGACAACCTACAGACTGGGAGAAAATATTTGCAAATGATGCAACCAATAAGGGCTTAATTTCCAAACTATACAAACAGCTCACACAATTCAATAACAACAAAAACAACCCAATCGAAAAATGGGCAGAAGACCTAAGTAGAGGTTTCTCCAAAGAAGACATACAGATGGCTAACAGGCACATGAAAAGATGCTCATCATCACTAATTATGAGAGAAATGTAAATCAAAACTACAATGAGGTATCACCACCTCACACCAGTAAGAATGGCTATCATTAAAAAATCTACAAATAATAAATGCTGGAGAGGGGGTGAAGAAAAAGGAACCCTCCTACAGTGTTGGTAGGAATGTAAATTGGTGCAGCCACTGTGGAAAACAGTATGGAAGTTCCTCAAAAAACTAAAAGTAGAGTTGTCATATGATCCAGCAATCCCACTCCTGGGCATATACCCAGACAAAACTATAATTTGAAAAGATACAAGTACCCCTACATTCATAGCAGCACTATTTACAATAGCCAAGACATGGAAGCAACCTAAATGTCCACTAACAGATGAATGGATAAAGAAGATGTGGTACATATATACAGTGGAATACTACTCGGCCATAAAAAAGAACGAAATAATGCCATTTGCAGCAATATGGATGGACCTAGAGATTATCATACTAAGTGAAGTAAGTCAGAAAGAGAAAGACAAATACCATATATCATTTATATATGGAATCTAAACGACAACATAAATGAACATATCTATGAAACAGACACAGACTCATAGGCATAGGGAACAGACTTGTGGTTGTCAAGGGGGAAGTGGGGTGGGGGAGGCAAGGATTGGGAGTTTGGGATTAGCAGATGCAAACTATTATACATAGGATGGATAAACAACAGGGTCCTACTGTATAGCACTGGGAACTATATACAATATCCTGTGATAAACCAAAATGGAAAAGAATATGAAAAAGAATATATATATATATATATATATATATATATATAACTGAATCACTTTGCTGTACAGCAGAAATTAACACAACATTGTAAATCAACTATACTTCAATAAAATTTAAAAAGTGATTATGGGGACAGGAAGTAGATGGACTATTTGACTTCTATGATCTCTGAGATGCTATGAAAATTTAAGTATTATTTTGATTGGGCTGATCATAGCCTTACTTTACTCCACTGGGGATGAGAGAGGAGATGAATAAGAATTCTGAAGAGAAGAATGTTAAACACAAGACAAATACAGTGACCAGATAAATAAATACCCGACAGGCAGAAGAGAGCCATTGTGTCTGGAAAACATAATAAAGCAAAGGAGAATCAGAGAGAGTAGAGATGTCCTGGGTGAGGCTAGAAACGGGTATCTATCATGTGGATATAAAGAGGTTAAAAGGTTGAATGAAAATGTGGACAGCTTCATAACTAGAAAAACTGCATCAGTGGTTAGGCACGTGCAGCATTTTTTTTAAAATCTGCTCTTCGGTTTGCTATTCAAGCTTGAAATCAAATGTTAAGAATGTCAGCATTGAGACTGTTTAAGATCATGTGAAAGAAAATAAGATGTAAAATAACAACTTCCTGTAGAAATAAAAACAGAAGCTCCTGGTATTAAAAAGGAAATTAATACTACCAATGTTTGACCATTAAAAACCTATTTTCCCATACTTTCTTCTCCATTTCTGGGGTGGGGCAGGAGTGGTATGACAATTTTAATCAAGATATTTTTCCTGAATAAGTTTAATTTTATTAAAGATTTTAATAATTCCAAGTAATACTGCACTGGTTTCATTAATATTAGGTTTTAGCCGACAAACCACATAATAGATAAAATGGTGGTGTAAGGAGGTCTATCCACGCCTTCACTCATAAGCTCCTTTGGATAATATGAACTTATGGAAGGCAGTGAACCGAAGTGTCCAGTGTGATTTTAGGGGCTAGGATTCATCTGAGGAGCTTAAGGAAAAGAAAGCCAAGTTCAGCTTGAAACTTCAGGAAAAAAATGATACCTCTTTAGAAAAGAAGATCTCTGAAATTAAAAAATAACACTTGAAGCAACTAACAGTTCTTGGATTATTGGATGTAAAAGTTTTCAGCTGGTATCCAAAATTGAAGTGACACTTTAAAAGATTAAATCAACAGGAGCACATGGTTGATAAAAGGCCAGAACAATTCCATTTTAAAAAGAGCCAACATTTTAAAGGGATTTGATATTTAAGAGCCATTTTTAGAAATCTCCTGATGAAATCTTTGATACTAAAACTGCAGAGAAGAAACTTACTGTTAATCCATGTTACATAACTTTGAATCCAGTCTGCCCTTCATCTTCTACCAAAGAAAAGGACCTAATTTAACCAAAATCTAAAAAGAAATTTTTTCAGGGAAAAAACATTGTGTGTGTGTGTGTGTGTGTGTGTGTGTGTGTGTGTCTATTAAAGACCAACATACCTGCTTCATCATAGGATACAGTCAATTTTTCTAGCATTTCTCGGTCAATTGATAGAATCTGCTGTTCGAGGATGGTCTGGTAAGACAATACACTATTTTCTTTGTCTTTCTCGTAGTCTTGAAGATGCTGTTTAAGGGCCTCTGGGAGTCGAGATTTTACATATTCAGCTGCCGTCTGCAGATAAAACAAGTAGAGAACCCCATGAGTATTTCTCATCTTAGGCTTTTCACTTCCCCTCAGGTGCTGTAGTGAGAACTCAAAGTACTGTGGAACCAACCCTTTAGACAATCACATCCTTGTCACTGTTGTCATTTTTAGACTCCACTGTACCAAGTAAGGTTGATCTTCAAATACACAGAATTACAGACCTCTAAGAGTTTTCTATCAGGTTTAAAGGTACAAAAGATGATGGATTGGCATTCATGGAGTTGAACTCAGAGTTTCAGCTATTCCACTGAACCCAGAAGGGTAGTAATTTTACTGGATATAAATCTGACTCGCCCTAATCTAGAATGCATAAGCTAGTAACTCATCTCAGCAGTAAACCGTCCTATGCTGTGGCATCCAAACCTCTGCTTTGCTTTGTTATTCTCTGCTCTTTAATGCTTATGCAGGAACTCTTGTGAAGTAAACAAAACGGAAAGCCCTCTGCTAGGGCTGATAACGGAATAATAGGAGAAACAGAAAACGAAGAGACCTAAAACAAAGATGCCTCAACCTGAAAAGAACTGTTCACCACTTAAATATCTTGGCCTTTATATATTTTATTCTTAACTTTCTTCCCCCTGCTTCTACATTATCTGCACAGTGTACTCCCAACTAGTAACATCTGAAATTACACACACTGACTTTCAACCAGGTAAGCAAGCTTCCCTTGGAGGTAGGAAGGAAGACATCTGTACTTTGAAAAAGACCTTCCCAAAGATTCTGATACATTCTTCTGGTGGACTGGGGCCATAGCACACTCTTCTCCCTTCCAGTTAAGAATCACAGTTGGGCTTCCCTAGTGGCGCAGTGGTTGAGAGTCCACCTGCCGATGCAGGGGACACGGGTTCGTGCCCCGGTCCGGGAAGATCCCACATGCTGCGGAGTGGCTGGGCCCGTGAGCCATGGCCGCTGAGCCCGCGCATCCAGAGCCTGTGCTCCGCAACGGGAGAGGCCACAGCAGTGAGAGGCCCGTGTACCACAAATAAAAAAAAAAAAAAAGAATCACAGTTAAAGTTAAATAGAACTTTAAGGGAGAAATTAAGTAATACGGCAGCATGTATGACTCAGGAGAATTGAAATTCTTAAAACATATCTCTTGAGAATGCCAAGAGTTTTGGCATCTTCTTACAGTGCAGTCCTCCATCATATGTATAGGGTCTAAGGTTGATAAATAAATGAAGGCATACATATATTGTTTAAAATTATACGCATCATCACTAGAAAACTAAAATAAAAGAAACTGTTAAACAGGATTGTCTCTGGGGTATGGGTCCAGGATAAGGTGAAGACACATCTACACAGTTTAATATTTTTTTAAAATTCCTGTAATTAAACAAAAATTATCTTTAAAATATGTTCTTTTGGTAAAGAACCTTCGTAGTTTTCCTTCTAAATGTTAGCACAGTTTAGGATGAAAAGAAACTTGCCAGAAGAATCAAAACTGACTTCTCAGGAAAAACTCACTGGGAAGTGGTGGAAAAAGTTATATTTCAGTCTTCAGAGTAGCCAAATACAGCACACAACACTTCATTTCCAGACTTATATTTGGATCCCCTAAGCCGGTTGCTGATGAAATTACAACTTTAAAATATCACCAAACACTGTTCATTTTCTCTGCCAGCCAGCTAGTGCAGAACAAATAAAATTATTCCATAGAATGTAAATGGACTCAGCACATTAGCACAACATATTTAATTCTAGAGTTTCATAACAATTTTCTCCTGACAATGGAGAATGAAGAGACATACTGCAGAATAACTCTTTTAAAATTCACACTACCTTGCTATTCAGTGTAACACGTGTCTTTAATTATTTTCCTTGGAAATATCTATGAGGTACAGGAAATAATTCCATAATGCACGTTTAACAAATATTGGTGTATTCAGTATAACTGAAAGCATACCACACATTTCCTTCCTATTGTGTCCACTGATTTACTCTTTTAATTCAGATCATGGTGGAGGTCTTGGAACCGGGCCTATATTTTTTACTATAGTGGAGTTTAATTTTGGCATTTCATTTCTAAAACAGTATAACTTCATGTATAGTCAGCCCTCTGTATCTGCGGGTTCCACATCTGTGGATTCAACCAGCTGCAGACAGAAAATATTTGGAAAGAAACCCTGCCCCACCAGCCCAGGTAGGTGCCCTCAGCCAGCACCAGAGCTCCTCCAACGTGGCCCTCAGCCTTGCCCATCCCATCGTGCACCCTTGGCAGGCACCGGCATCCCCCCAAAGCGGCTCCCACCCCAGGGGTCAGCCCTGTACACCAGAACACCTGCAACAGTTGTAGCCAGTACTTACAGCCAGCTGTACTGGGGGGCCAGCCCTGCACACCAGTGTGGCCTCAGTAAGAGGACCATTTTCTTACACCATATACAAAAATAAACTCAAAATGGATTAAAGACTTTAAGGCCTGAAACCATAAAACTCCTAGAAGAAAACACAGTCAGTATGCTCTTTGACACTGATCTTAGCAATATTTTTTTGGCTCTGTCCCCTCAGGCAAAGGAAACAAAAGCAAAAATAAACAAATGGAACTACATCAAACTAAAAAGCTTTTGCACCGCAAAGGAAACCATCAACAAAACAAAAAGGCAATCTAATGAACAGGAGAAGCTATTTGCAAATGGTGTTATTTGCAAAAGGGGTTATTATCCAAAGTATATAAAGAAGTCATACAATTAAATTTTAAAAATCCATTTAAAAAATGGGCGGAGAACCTGAATAGACATTTCTCCAAAGAAGACATACAGATGGCCAACTGACACATGAAAAGATGCTCAATGTCATTAATCATCAGGGAAATGCAAATCAAAATCACAATGAGATATCACCTCACACCTGTCAGAATGGCTGTCATCAAAAAGACCACAAAAAACAAGTGTTGGTAAGGGTGTGGAGAAAAGGGAACTCTTGTGCACTGTTGGTGGGAATGTAAATTGGTGTAGCCACTATGGAAAACAATATGAAGGTTCCTCAAAAAATTAAAAATAGAACTACCAAACGATCTAGCAATTCCACTTCTGGGTATTTACCCAAGGGAAAAAATCCCACTAATTCAAAAAGATATATACACCCCTATGTTCACTGTAGCACTATTTACTATAGCCAAGATATGGAAGCAACCTAAAAGTCCAGTAATAGATGAATGGATAAAAGAAGGTATGGTATATATATGTACAAAGGAATATAACTCATCTATAAAAAAGAATGAAATCTTGCCATTTGCAACAAAATGGTATTATGCTAAGTGAAATAAATTAGGCAGAGAAAGACAAACACGATGTGATCTCATTTATATGTGGAATCTAAAAAACAAACGAACAAACCAAAGAACACAGAAACAGACTTATGGATATAGAGAACAAACTGGTGGTTGCCAGAGGAAAGGGAGTGGGAGGTTGGGTGAAATAGGTGAAGGGGATTAAGAGGTGTGAACTTCGAGTTATAAAATAAATAAATCATGGAGATGTAATACACAGCATAAGGAATATATAGGCATCCCTTGTTTTATTGTGCTTCAATTTTTTGTTTTTGTTTGTTTGTTTTTAAGAATTGAGGGTTTGTGGCCACCCCACATTGTAAGATAATGGTTAGCATTTTTTAGCAATAAAGTATTTTTTTCAGAAAGTCTTCATTTTAAGCCATGAAACTGTTTCTGCAAATTGTTTTTTTTAACTTTTTATTTTATATTGGAGTATAGTTGATTAACAATGTTGTGTTAGTTTCAGGTGTACAGCAAAGTGATTCAGTTATACATATACATGTATCTATTCTTTTTCAAATTGTTTTCTCATTTAGGTTCTTACATAATATTGAGCAGAGTTCCCTGTGCTATACAGTAGGTCCTTGTTGGTTATCCATTTTAAATATAGCAGTGTGTACATGTCAATCACAAACTCCCTAACTATCTTACTCAGTGGACTCAGCGGATGAAAAAAAATATTTTTAAATTGAGTTACATTACATTGGTTTCTTAAGACATAATGCTATTGCACACTTAATAGACTATAATGTAAAAATAACTTTTACACGCAATCGGAAACCAAAAAATTCGTGACTCACTTTATTGCAATATTTGCTTTATTGCGGCAGTCTGGAACCAAACCCACAATATCTCGGAGGTATGATTGTAGTTGATAATACTGTAATAATTTTGTATGGTGACAGACGGTTACTGAACTTACTGTAGTGATCATTTTGTAACATACTTGATTGTCAAATAACTATGTTGTATACCTGAAACTAACATAATACTGTATGTCAACTATACTTCAATTTTTTTAAATTCCAAAAAAATACCAGAGAGTTCCCAAAAGCAAAAAGTGAATTTGTCATGCCAGCAACTATTTACATAGCATTTACATTGTATTTAACAACTATTTACATAGCATTTACATTGTATTAGGTATTATAAGTAATCTAGAGATGATTTAAAGTATATGCATAGGTTATATGTAAATATTACACCATTTAATATGCAACTTGAGTGACTCATATTTTGGTATCCAAGAGGGTCCTGGAACCAATCCTCTGTGGATACTGAGGGACTACTGTATAGAGTTCTTTCCTCTGGGAAAGATTTTTAAGAGGAATAGAAAGAAACAACTCTAGCAAAATACTAGCTTCTATCAAGATATTTCAAGAAATCACCTTTATACTGAGGTGATTCTCTAAATGTATTCAAATGTCAGTCAAAACCTTATGTTCAAGCATAAACCTATGCCAAAAAACAGGATGTCATACAAATACCTTATGATCTCACTTATATGTGGAAAATAAAAACAAAACAAAACAAAAACACAAAAACCAAACTCATAGATAAAGAGAATAGACTGGTGGGTGCCAGAGGTGAGCAAAATGGGTGAAAGTGGTTAAAAGATATCAAACTCCCACTTACAAAAAAAATAATAAGTCCTGGGGTTATAATGTACAGCATGCTGACTATAGTTAATAAGGCTGTA